AGTCGGCGGGAGCTACGCTGAAGTCGGAGATCGCGAGGGCACAACCGTCCAGCTTGAAATCCTGCGAGCGAATCGAACACTGTAGGATTGCCAATTCTAGTCGTTTCAACTCTAGGCGCTCTTGTCTCTCGGCCTCCTCGCGCTCGCGAGCTTCTCGCCTTTCTTCACGTTCGCGAGCTTCGCGCCTTTCTTCACGTTCGCGAGCTTCGCGCCTTTCTTCACGTTCGCGAGCTTCGCGCCTTTCAGCCTCTTCACGAGCTTCTCGCCTTTCAGCCTCCTCACGTTCGCGAGCTTCTACTTCTCGCCTTTCAGCCTCCTCACGGCGTGCTTTAATATCCACCCAGGCCTCATCGACTTCCTCAGCCGACACTCCCTCATCCTTCATGATCTCAAGGATCGCTTGCTTTCGTTTCGCACGGCCCAAAGTAATGCCGAGTTCCTCACAAATTTCGATGAGTTCCTTCACTTTAAGGTTCTCCATCGTTCACACTAGCCTCTTGCTGTTTGCCCCTGTTAAGAATCTACTTGCCGTACCCACTATAAGCCTACTAGCAAGACGCGCAAGCAATTTTAACACTGCCGTGTTTACCCCCTCTGCATTAACTTTGGTTTCAAAGCACTTCGACTTTGCTTGAAACGATCAAAGCTCACTCCAATGCTTCACACAGCCCTTCTCTAAACTACTACAACCTGAGCTAGAGTAGTCTGGTGAACTGAGGGGAAAACATCAGGCACTCACCGCATCGATGTCGCTGACGCCGGCCGATCCCGCAGCTGCCAACCACTGTTGAGAAACGGCGGACCGATCCCGCCGAAGCCACCACTGTTGCGAAAGACGGCGACGCCAACACGGCCCCGGAGGCGCCACTGCTTTCAACTCCGCCGGGAAGGTCACCAGCCGTTTGGTAGCGTATGTTTATCAGCTCGCGACTGCTTCTGCGCAGAGCTGATAAGACGAGCGGACGAGATGACGGTGAGTTAAACAAGGTTTATGTACAGCATATTTACAGAGGCGTTACAATTTCGGCACTGGGGCCGACAGAGACTCGAAGAGCCGAGCTCTTCTCTCTAACACATCGGTCAGTCTTTCGCCTAAGACCGCTGACTCACACACATGTCGGCACTCCGACACGGGGACGCCTCTCACATAGGACCGCCGATCGCGACGCGCCGCAGGGCTTCTTTTATTTACACCGGGTCCAACCAAAGTGTCCAATCAGAAGCGCCGCGGGTCGTCCGGGCAGATTCCGCCAATGGGGGCCGCCGCGCCATGCGTCAGACCACCTGACACGAGGACGCCGGCTCGCTGTCACGTGCGCAACTGACTCACTGCACGTGCGCCAGAGGAGCGCCGCGCGTGTTCACGCCGTCGAGGTGATCGCGCCAGGCAGACTGCGGGCTGGCCTTGACCCAGATTGCCTTTTTCAGAGGCACGGTCGTTTGACGAGGACTCGCTGGCACAACAACGGATATCCGAGGCATAATCTGCGACGCCCGCTGCGTTGCTATGCGGGAACCACACCCTCACGAAAGACGCACATGTTCTTTTTTCGACAATGCGACGGAAGAGAAGCATCGCGGCAGAAGAATCGCGTAGGAATGCGCATTAACACACACACACACACACACACACACACACACACACACACACACACACACACACACACACACACACACGCACGCACACACACACACGCACACAAAGTCACGGGTCGGCGTGCACAAAGGTAAAATTACTGGGGTCCCTTATCATGCCAAGAAGACTGGACGGCGAGTCGCAACATTGGGACAGACTGCTGGGCCAGTTAGTTTCGAATGTATTAAATGAGAAACTACCACGAAGTGCCCGCCTCGCGTTTGTGGCCGTCTCTATTCCCGCGAATTACACTTCATAAAAAAAGACAAAAACCATTACGTCTGCACTTTTGTAACGACTGCGCTTCTACGAAACCCCATTAATTTTTTTCTGAATCGCTCAATCACTCTCAAGTAATATTAATTACTTTCAATTATATTGAGTTAGGCTGGATTATTTGGCGTTACCTCTTAATTGCTCAGTAGAATACCCCAAATTACTTTCAATTACTAGCGTCTAAATTTCATTTACTCCTTTGCTCTCAATTACTTGTTACTTCACTAAGTACATTTCCGATGGAGGGGGAAATGTTGTAGGCCCGTGTGCTCAGATTTGGGTGCACGTTAAAGAACCCCAGGTGGTCGAAATTTCCGGAGACCTCCACTACGGCGTCTCTCATAATCAAATGGTCGTTTTGGGACGTTAAACCCCACATATCAATCAATTACTTCACTAAGTACTGCTTCACTGGACCCTGGCGTCTTGTATATAGGACATAATCTAACTTTTCGTACCATCCGTGTTGTCCAAGGCTACGAAGAGGGTCGCTTTTCTCGCTTGGCATATACAAACGTTACGCCTTCAAAGGCTCGTGCCTACACACAGGCGCCGCTGTTGTCGTCATCGACGAGAAATGTCAAATACACCGTCGGGCGTATCGGATAGCAGCCGCGCGTGCTCCTCTGCGTACACCCGATATCGGGCGGCCGTTTTGCGCACGCAGGATACGAGACACGGCCAAGTGGGCGGAGGATGTCCTCGCGGTGACGAGTCCGCGCTCGCTCGATCGCCGCTTCGGTTACGGCGGTGACTACAACGTGAGTCACGCTGTTTATACACGAGCTCTTTAAAGGCAGCTAGAGGCCTTCCTTCCTAAACGACACGCAACGATAATAGCCTACGAAGACAAACTTACAGACTGTGACTGGACATTAAAAATGTGGCTCCCGTCTTCTATCGAGAACAAGACACGCGTGCGGATGTACTGCTTCACTTTAAAGCGCTCAAACGCTGCAATATAACAAACTAATTTTTGGGGTTTTACATTCCAAAACTACGGTATGATAATGAGAGATGAGGGATTTTCAGAAATTTGGGCCACTTAGGGTTCTTGAGCATGTATTTAAAGCTGATAAGCACACGAGCCTCTCACATTCTGCCTCAATTGACATGCGGCCACGGCAGGGATTCGACCGCGCGACCTTCGGGTCATGCAGTCGAAACGCCATAACAACTAGACCACCACTGAGCGTGACGAAGAGTGAAGAGAAAGAGTAGATCGCCTCACGCGTCATTAATAGCTGGACTTTCGCGTGCCAAGACTCCCACATTGATTCAGAGGCAGGCAGAGTGTTTGTCGCAAACGGTTCGTTCAAAATAACGCAACGCCTCCGTGCAACCCCACGCAGGTATAGTCGAAATTAAACCGAAGCAGCAGTATAGACCACGGAGCTTATCATAGCCAGGGTCCCGTCGGGACAATCTGCGAGGTTAGGTAGTTATAACACCCAATAAAAAAAAACGTTTCAGCTATAGTTGTTCTGTTCTGATACATACACATTACATCTTCTTACACGTGCGCATGCACGGTTTTGAGCGCGGCGCGATAATAATGTCAGTTCAGTTGTGGCACTTACATACGTTGTTGAGAGAAGAATAAAGCAGTTATTCAACGCTGGTGCTTGCTTCATCGATATGTGGTCCATTCTGGTTTACGCTGAAGTTATCGCGTTAAGCACCTAACATCATTCTTTTCGCCCATCGTTGTTATCTCGAATGCCGCAGTTATCGCCAGTAATAAGCTACCGCAAAATCTGGCAGATTAACACAAGCGACGATAAAGTATCGCAGAGCTATATCGGCCTAGTAAGTTTAACCAGCAAAAGTGCGGAAAGCGACAGTTCTCCGATTAAGCACACGTTGATTGGTGCCCTTTCAATAATGTAGTTGCACAGGTCAGTCATCAAGCCTATAGTTGCAAAAAATGTTATAACGTATATACAGCTCCATGAAAAAAAAAGTGACACCACGGAAATGGCACAATGAACACCGCAGTAGAAAAATCCACTCCGGAAAAAAAAATGCGATAATTGTAATGTGGGGGTTTATATAAATACACACAACAATACGGAATTCCTCATTTCACTTTCAAATGCTGACGTTGCTCGTATCAAAAAAAAAAACAATATATATGCACTAAACACAGTATCGTTCGCACGTTTAGCAAGGGTGTTTAGCATTTTGTCTGCTTGAATGTTTTCAGGGATATTTCATTTTCGATCATTAAGAAGCCAAGCCCACCATCTGCTAAAAGCCGCTTGGGCGAAGGGTCCAGCCCAACCTATTTCTGTGAACTTCTTACTATTCGATTTTGATGACGCTCATTCATCAGAGTTGGTGGAATTGGATGCGGCAGAAATCAGCGGTGGATCCAGAATTATCATTCTGGTATGGAAGTAGCTACCTCAGAGCATATGCTCTGGCGAATGCCCCTCGTTAAAGGGTAGCGGTCAAGCTAATTCGGCGAAGTGGTGCTCCACCGTCAGAAGCCCCGGGTATCAGCTTTGGGCCGTCCAGAGAGCCCACGACGCGGTGGTCAGGCTTACAGCCTGCCGATCCTGCACGTGGGAGAAGCCCACTGCGCGCTAGCCGCATTCCTCAGGACTACACATAAACTTCTCCCATCCATCTATCTCCCTGGCACACATTTGATGGCGCCACAATTCATCATGAATGGACCGTTGTGTTCCACGGAATCGAAACTATAGCGCCGGAAGAACTTGAGACATCGACGCCTAAAATAAAGGCTCCGCACAGCCCCTGCATGATTGGTGAAGATAATTGCTGTGAGCGAATGAACTTCATAGCGATGCTTTTAGATGACAGCACCGCCACAAACTACCGCAAATATTTAGACACGGGGGAGAAATGGGTTGCTGAAACTGGGTACAAACAACAACGCACGTAACCCATAGCATAGGGCACACCAAAACTCGCAAATGAAGTGCACGTAAACACCACCCATAGCGCAAGTAATAACTGTAGGAAGCTGAAGAGAGAGAACACCAAACAAACAAAACGCAAACGTACACAGACATCGCAAACAAAGGACAGGAAAAAGAGACAGATGAATATAGAGACAAACCGCAGGCTCTCTGACACGTCGAATTCCTCCGCGTCGCCGCGAGCCGTCGGCACCGCTGTTACCCTCAGAGAACGACACGGCCACGGCAAACACCATTGTTCCGTTTCTTCGCCTCGCAGAGGCTTCTCAGCGCACACAGCAGCCGTAAATCCTGGCGGTGCGACAGGCACAATCAAGATCCTGAAGACGAAGTGGTTGGGGGCGCGGCTCTTTCCCGCGGCGTTGATGCGATTCCCACCACGACCGACAGCGGCGACACAGAGCACCACAACTTTGTTTTATCGACTATACACGACGCACGGGAAAGCGGGCGAGCATCGGTTCCGTCGATAGAGCATCCGCGAGGACCACCACGGCTGCGCGCGAACGAGGAGGTATAGGAGCTAACCGTGCGAATGGGAAAACAACACGCTGGCTAGCCAGCCGCGCAAGCGGCGCCTGTCGCATCCATCGGAGTCGACTGACCCACGTGGTTGAGAGACATGTGAACCGGGTCGCCGACTAAAGTGTACCACACACAACACAAAACACGGACTTAGTACACAGAACGCAGCTGCTGGTACACACGAGAGGGAGCAGGCACCGGGATAGAGCTTCCGCTTCTGGTACGCGAAGTTGGGCCGACGGAATCGGATGGCGATGCACAGCCGGTCGGGTCGGCTCGCGCAGATCCGAAAGGCGAGCTTTCGTGGAGAGTCCGCGCCGCTGACGGGCGTCCGTTTTGTCGCCCGTTCGCGCTGGGAAAAACGGCAGCCACGCCGAGAGAGCAGGTGGGCGAGCTCCGAGATGGAGGAGGAGAGGAATCGAGAACGCATCTCTCTCGCTCACTGCGTTGAGGTGAGAGGCGCCGAAACCAGTGGCGAGCTGCTACGATTTAGGGTTAGAAGGCCGAGAGGAAGTGAGAGGAACGGAGACAGAAGGAAGGATCGCGAAAGGCAACACCCAGCCGCGCGAGACGCGTTAGTGCAGCCGAATATTAATATAAGCAGAAAAAGAAGGGAGCATGACTGCGGAAGGATGCGAGAAGACGGTATGTGTTCGTTCCTCGAACAACTACATACAAAAAAACTTAAAAACGGCGAATCATTACTCCATTAACATGACGATTGAGTGAGTCACAGTTAGCAAGAAAAAAAAAAAACAAAGAGAAAACCACGATGATTTGCCAGCGGTTGAGTCAAAACAATGACGTCTCCGATGAGCAGCGAAAAGACGACATTAGTGAATATTAGTAGTCAGCAGTCACAATTAATCATCACAAAGACAACATTAGTGAGTGCTGGCTAAATATAGGCAGTCCGAGCTCACGTTTATTTATCGCATGCAGGTACAGTCGCGCTCAATATGACTTGCAACCCGCCATGGCCATGGTCAAAGCGGCGCCTACACTGCCTATAGCAGCGCCAACATAGAAAACTATCTCTGGCATAAGCACTGCTTTGGCTACCACTGCTTCAAAACCAATTTCAATCTTGCCGGTGTCGAAGTACAGGTTTAAGGACCACAGCCACTATGTTGCGACTTATATTGATAGTCACGCAAACAACGGGCTTACATATCACATACAGCGTCAGCAGGTCCCAAAGGAAGAAGCATTCAAGAGGTCCAAACAAGGATATAGAGCCATTAGTACGCGACTAGAGGAAAAAGTACGAGACAAGGGCCAGTACAATGCGAATAAGTATGGCAGCTCAATTCAATTTTAAATTATAATTATCTGGCATTATGCCTCGTTAAAGCAAATAGGTGGACGAGACCCAAGACACTATCACTTATTAGTAATATCTTTGTAACGTGCGGACAAGCGTTTGACCTACACCCACGTTTACGACAATCCCGCGTACATCTCCAATTCCAAGCAAACTATAACTGCAGCAGAACTGTCCTCGCCATGTCGTCGCTACGACAACGACAAAGTCAATGACCATTGAGAGATGCACGATGTAAGTGTAAAGGCCTAGCCCGCATACGGGGTCACCGGTTTATCCGGCGAGGAAGTTTCGTAAGACTCGCCGCATATGTGGAGGGGAGGGGGTCAAGAAACGCTATTTATCCCGCAAAGTGGCGGTTACGTATTCGCTCGCAGTCGAAAAGCCGGAGGGGGAGGGGGGTGTCATTGCGACGCCAAGGCATCTCTGGAGAGGAGGATGTGCACGGTCGCCAGAGCGGGACGAAATAATCAAGGACACAAAAAAAAATAAAAACAGAAAAGTAGGCCCTCGTTGCTGTCCTGAGCCTGCTCTGGTTTCACAAATGCCGTTTTCTTCTTCTTCCTCCTTACCTTAAGAAGTCAAAGTCAACCAGGAAAAAGCCGCAGAGCCTCGTTGGCGGCGGCGGCTTCGCCGCCCTGTCCTTTGCCAAGGTCCGAGGTTGAGAGGGCGGAGATGGCATACTCTGGCGTGTGTATCTGTATGTGTGTGTGTGTGCGGCGTGCGTGCCCCGTGGCTGTTGACTCCTTCTCCTAAACAGGCCGTCTCCCCCTACCCTCCGATCAACAACGTCGCGCGGCGGGGAATTGACCCTATTTTGCGCGGTGCAACCACCACTCCGCGCTCTAGAGCTCTATCTTCGGATTCCGCCGCTGGCTCCACATCTTCCTCCTAAATGACGCCTCCGTCGACACACACGCACACGCAAACACAAGGGAGAAAGCCTCAAGCGATGCCGCACACGCGCACAACACAGGCACTCAAGAAGCGCAGCCACACAGAAGACGACGATCTGTGACGTAAACGTCCAAGAGAACGGCGAGGTGAGCTTGGGCTTCATAGAGAGAGAAAGAGAGAGGCAAACAAACCCAACGTCAAGACATCCTGCTTCTGGAACCGATCTTGCAGGAGGATGGGGGGAGGGGGGGGAAGCAGGACGAGCACGCTGCTTTGTTTCCTCCTCCACTTCGAAGAATCCTTCCCGGGAGCACACATCCTCCGTCGATCAGGAGATTGCCCGTCGGCTGCCTTGCCTGCCGCCGATTGTGTTCTGTTCCTTCTACGAGAGTCTAGCGCGGCCGCGCCGCAACTGCCAATGTTAGGGTTCTTTTCCCCCTGCGCAGCTCTCGCCGAGCACTAAAGTGCGGCAGTTAGCCACGTACCCCCAGCGGAGATGACTCAAGCCAGCGCACGTGTCTCACCTAATCGACGTCGTAGAGTACGTGCGCGGCTCGCCGAAGACGCGGCTACGGCACAGGGAGAGAGGCGTGTGACGTGGGCACAATTGCGGTGGAGACCAAGAAAAATAAGATAACAAAAAATGATTGAAAGAGGTGGGAATGGGATAAGAAAGCAACGTCCATGCAGTCAACAACGCCTGGTTGTGCATACGTTAGCCGCGTTTACTGCTGGAACACGTTCTCTGTAAATATTATATTTAGCGCAACAAATATGACCGCGAAGAGACCGCATGGGCAGAACGGGTGCTCAGCAGCACACACAGAAGATCCAGATAACGAATTTCAGAGGCAAGCAATCATGTTCTACATGACATTTTTGCCCATGTTTGTTTGGAAAAACATTTCTAAGATTGCGCCAGTTACTTTTATTTCTTTTTATTCTTTATGGATCAGTACCGTAACTCCACAAAGCGTGGCTTACATTTACGCGCGCGCGCTTAAGTGCGCCCTGTCCTTAGTTTTGACATTAGGAACGTGTTTCATTATTTAAAAAAAAAGGAGGTGAACATTTTATGGCACATGAATAAGTTCGTATGGCTCTGAAATGTATTGTATGGAATGTACGTGTTAGCACTTCTGACCAAACTGAAAGAGCACGAAAGTACCCCATGCATGAGCTTTGAAAAACGCCCTTACGTGCTTAGTGTCTTCAAGCACAAGGAAATTAAGTTACCGTGCTGTACAGGTGCCCATTTTGTGGTCATGTTTTCGGCGCTCAATCTGCTTGTGAGGCGAAAGCCTGAAATGGCTCATGAGATACGGAATGCCCACTGCAAGCGAAAAAAATAAAAAACTAAACAAAAAGTAATTCGACTCTATTCGGTCTGACTTCTAACTTGCCACGTACATAAATATCTTCAAAAAAGGACACGCTAACTCTCTTTGTAGATTGTTACACTCTCGTGGGAGCCGTGGGACCCAAAATAGAGTTAATGCGTCTCTTTAAAAAGAGTATTACACGCGACAAGTCAGGAGTTACCGAAAAAAAAAAGTAAGGCATAATGATTTTTTCCCTTCGACTGCAACCGCCCGGCGGTGTCCGCTGTCGACAAGAGCACACATGGTATTACATGTGCCACGTGACCACGTGGATTCGGGATATCAATGAAACCAACTAATGAGTAAAAAGAAGGCTATGGAAAAGATCACGACGACGACGACGACGATGATGATGATGATGATGATGATGACGACGACGGCGGCGGCGGCGGCGGCGTGTTTCGTCTTTGCGCCATCTTAAATGCACGCGTATGGAACTCGGCGAGGTATGGTGACACGGATTAGCTCACTCAAAGCAGCGGCACTTACACAGAACAGCGGTGCCCTTGCAATCCATTAAACGACCAAGTGAACGGCGCGAAGTGTCGAACACAACTTCGTGTAATGCAGTAACAAAAATACTGTATGAGAACAAGAAAGTCACACGGCCGCCTTTGTCATTTCGCAAAACTAGCAATCCCTTTCCTCCACAGGCTCCAGCCGAGCGAGCCTTCGCGTCTCCTCGTAATTATGACCCCCTAAACACAGGGTGAAGGTCGGCATGGATGCGCCCAAGCGCTGCGAATCAGGCCCACACCTGGCACAATCTGCCCTCGGGGCAAGGTTAAGGACACGACGCCGACGACGCGCGGTGTAATTGAGGACGGAAACAAAGGCAGGGCAGCCTTCGCCTCTTTCCGTGCGTCCGATGATCATAGTCGTGTATCCGTGTTTAGCATCACTAAACGCCCCGCATCGCCTTCACGCGCGAGACTCGGCGGTTTCGTCGCCGTCACGAATGTGCCCTCCCGGTTTTTATTATGAGCCATCCAAGCACAAAAAACGACCCTCCGAGACATTTGAAACATTAGGGAAAAACTTCCGTGTTTTTGAACAAATTAAGATTCATGCTTAAGGGGGCCCTACAACGCTTTTTGAGCGTGGTCAGAAAACGCTGCCGAACGGTAGTAAAGCTTCCTTCTGACAACACGCGAGCGAAATATTTTAGCGCAGCACGCGGCCTGAAATCAACAATAAATTATCAAAGGCAGCTAAAAATTGCTTCCTTTTTTCTCGACAAATGACGGAAGACGCTCAAAAGTCACTCCTAAAAAGCCCATCTATCAGCCATTGGCTGATTTGAACATGGCGCA